TGGGATTTTGCCTGCGTCTGTGATAGCCACTGTAGGGCTGGAGAGGAAACCACTGTGGGGCTAGGACATTGACTGTGGGGTGGGTTTCTAGGCCCTAGGGTGGGAGCTGAAATGTTGCCGAGCTGGAGACAGGAGGAAGATCCTGCTCCTTCAACCTGGGGAAGTATCAGCCAGCAGCATTGGAGAAATACGCATCTGGAGCTGGAAGAAGAGAGCATGCAGTGAAATAAAGCTTGTGGGCCAAGAGGTGAAATCACTGGGGCAGGGAAAGGGTCGCTAGATCTGGAGCTATAATCACTGGGGGGCTGGGATAGAGACTGATAGTGGTATTGACACGGCTGGGTGAGATAACTGTGGTAGCATTCATATGCTGAAATCACTGTAGGTCAGTAATATTGATATTGTGACAGTGTCAAAGGGCTGAGGTGAAGGGCAAAAGGTCAGGGGTCAGTTGTTAAATTGAAAAGTCAGGGATTCAAACTTCAAGGGTCACATGTGAATGGTCAGTGTTCAAAGATCAAGAGTAAAGTGTCCAAGGTCCAATGTTATAGGTTAATTTTCCAAGGTTATGTGGTTCAAGGACAATTATCAGGGAATCAAACTTCAGAGAGCTAAAGTCAAGAGTCAAAGGTCAAAATTCAGAGGTTAAGAGTAAAAGGTCAATGGGAGGTTGCCAGGGATTTGCAGGGAAGAGGAGTATTTATAAACTTTATCCATATTTCCCTGTAATTCTGGGTGTTTGGATTTCATTTGTGCTCGTCAGGATAAGCCATAAACAAGCCCCTGAACTCTGCATCCATGTGTCAAGCACTTCCACAGAAAGGCAAGTCAGCAGTGATTCTCGAGGAAAAATTAGAGGTGATGGCTTATGATCCCTGGGGAATTACATTGGGAATTATGAAACTCAAACACATGGAATTGTGGAGGTGGAATTCCATTTTCAGCCTTGGGCACCAGGAGGAGGAGAGGTGTCCTCATCCATAGCAAGGAAAGCCTGGTGCCCCAGTGTGTCAGGTGCGGACAATGAGCTGTCCAGGGAATGAGCAACAAGTTCCTTCTGCCCCTCCCCTCACCCGTAGGATGGCAACAGCACAAACTGAACTGTGAGGTTGATGAGTGCTCAGAGTAGCTCCAGGTGTGAGCAGTGAGGTTGATGAGTGCTCAGAGCAGCCCCAGGTGTGAGCAATTATGGTAAAGAATGGGTGGGTCCTGCCCAGGGCTATTTTAGGGGGAGGGTTTAGCTCACTTTGCTTGGGCATGGAGCAGTTGGAGAAGAGGTGTTTATGGTGGGCTCCCTGGGGGTATCTCGTGGAATGATACCGAGACCATCTCATAGGATCTGGGAGAACAGCTGGATGTGTTTGGATATGGAGCATTGCTTAGAGGTGTCAAGGCAGATACCTTTGTGTCTGGAAGCAGCATTGGAGCAAGTAAGCCAGTGTGAGTTCGCAGTGGGGCTTTTCTCCTTTTTGATTTCCTCTTGCCAGGGAGCGACAGAGCCATGTGGAGGAGAGGCAGGTTCAGGTTTGAGTTTAGTGAATTGGTCTGATTATTTTTTAATAGTTGGTGTGATTTGTTGTGTGGAGTTCAATAGAGTTGTTTTTTATTTATGTCTAACTTTGCTGATGTGATAAGAACTGTTAGTGAAAGAGCATAGCATCTGTTTTTGCTGGTAGTTGGTTGTACGGTGTTGGTTTTGTTTGTGTTGCCTGTTTTGGGTTTTTTTGTTAGTGAGATTAAAGTTTTTATTTTGGGGTTAATTTGTGATTATTTTAAAGATTTTAGGGCAATTTAGGTTTTTGATTTGGGGGTGCTGTGATGAAAGTACTGTATTTATTTTATGTAGTATTGGTGGTGTGGATAGAGGGAATATTTGTTATGAAAATTTATTTTAGTATTGTTAGTTGAAATGTTAGGATGAGTTGTGTTTCAGTGTTGAGTCTTTTTGAGGGGGTTAAGATTTTTTTCCCTTGGTTAGTGGAGGTATTGTGATTTTATTGATGACATTGGTGGGAATTTGATGCTGTTTGTTTTTTGGTTATTTTATTTTTAGGAATATGATTTTTGTAGTAGGCTTGGAAGAATTCACTTTATTTCAAGACATACTAGTTTAGTGATATAAAGGTTCCCATATTAACTCATCAGTGTCTTAGACTTTTTTTTCTTATTTAGGTTTTCCAGAATTTACCAATAATTTAGCAATCTAGCAGGGATGGCACCCTGTTCTTGAAAAGATGGCCATGGAAAAACCTGCGTCTAATAACACGTACCTGATGGAGGGCAACAATTTTGCCGTTATTACAGGGCCAAATACGAGTGGCAAAACAATGTTGGCATGGAACTGCTGGAGGAGAGGAGTTTCTGGTGGGCTCCCAGTGGCATCTGCTGGAGTGACGGTGAGAGCATCTCATAGGGTCTGGGGGAGCACCTGGATGCACTTGGACTTGGAGCACTGCTTAAAGGAGGTGGTGATGGACAAAGCTTCCTGCCAGGAAGCAGCACCTGAACAGTGGATTTGCAGGGGTGATCTTTGTCCTTTTCCCTTTTGATTTCATCATGGCAGTCCCTCCCCGGTGCCCTCAATTTTTCACAAGAATTCCAAGAAAAAAAGGCTGAGCAAACAGTGAAAAAAAGGGGTATAGGTAAGGTGGAGTTCAGGTGTACCCCACCCCAAACCCTAAACAGCAGCCCTAACAGCGCTCCCGTTTCCTTGAGACAGCTGCAGGCAGGAACCCTAAAGCAGCAGAGTGCCAGAACCCACGAGAGGTGCAGGCAGTTTCCTGGTGCTAGGGCCAGCCAGGAAGTGATAGTGGGGGGACGATCCGCAGGGTTGGGGAAACAGGGGGTTTCCCGCCCCGCCCCACCCTGGGCTCTCTGTCCCTCCGCAGCCGGGGATTGCTCCCACCCCTCCTCGAGGCGGCGGTTGGTAAGGCTTCGTGCCTGGCCTCCGCAAAGAGTTCGGCTCTGTCAGCCTCTGCCCTGTCTCAGGGCCAAACTTAGGTAGGGTAGGGAGCAACTGTGGATTGCCTGGTCCGGGCTAAGGGACATCTCTTGGGGCCTATGGATAAGGAGCATCCCCGGTTGCAAGCGTAGGGTTGTAAGTTTGTAGGGTTCAGCGGGGCAGCTTGGCAGTGACACAGAGAGGCTGAGGGAGGGCTTCAGAGGTCAAGGGCTCGAGGGCTGGAGACAAACAGTGAAAATAAAAGGGGTACAGGTTGGGATACAAGGTAGAGTGCAGGACTATTCAAACACTAAACAGTAGCCCTAACAGCGCTCCTGTTTCCCTGAGGTAGCTGCAGACAGGAACCCTAAAGCAGCAGAGTGCTAGAACCCACGAGAGGTGCAGGCAATACCCCTGGTGCTAGGGCCAGCCAGGAAGCGATAGTGGGGGGACGATCCGCAGGCTAGGGCCTACTGCTGTCCTATAAGCTGGGCTTTCCATCCTTGGGGTACCCTGGGCTCCGTGTCCCTCACTGACTGGAGAGTCTTTCTCACCTCCTTGAGGTGGTGGTCATTTGGCTGTGTCAGCCAATACTGCTGTGAAGCAAACCTCTGCCTCCCTGTGGGGTGAAGTGTGCAGCCCATGAACCTGAGCATTATCTAGAGAAGGTAAGTGCTGGATTTTCACTGATGTGCCGCTAAGATCTCGCATTGATATTTGATCTTTTTATATATTGTAGCTGACCAGGAGACGACAGCCTGGCGCTGGCAGGAACTTCCCAGATGGCGAGGTGGCCTTCCTTGACACCCACGAGCACCCTCCCCGCCGGGCATCCGAGAGCTGAGTCAAAGGCTACGACCCGCAGAGGGGATGAAAGCGGGGTGCCGGGTCCAGGACTTGTGACCTGGGATTATGGAGTCAGCTTTGGGGATGGGGAGGTCCAGGCTGTGGCCCCTTTGGCCCCATGCAGGAAGAGCCTCACTTCTGTTCACAGTGCTGAGATGTGCAGGACAGAGCAGCCCCGGGGTGTGTCGTGCCACTTGTCCGTCGTGCCTTCTGTGTCTTTTGTGCCTCTTGTGTTGTACATGCCTTGCCTTATCTCTTCTGGGGGCTTACCAGAAACCCTGGCATCACTCATAGCATCTCTGGGTTCTTCAGCCCGACGCCATCGAAGCTTTGCCTCCGGAGCTCTCAGAGGCCTTGGAATCGCGTCTGTTTTGAAAAGCATCCGATGGGATGTGTTTTAGAGGTCTTGTTCTGAGCTGTGTCAACAGCCGTGCGCCGCGAGGATCCATTGTTGCGGCTTAGGTCTTGAAGAAACGCAAAGATAGGTAGGGGACTGTGGCCCTCAGATTCTCGGGCATCCGTCTTGGCAGTCTCGGAGTTTGTCATTCCATCAGCATCTTCTTCCTCCCGGGTTCTGCGAGCTTCATCAGCTCACCTTCATTCTCACCCGGGTCATCTCATTCCGCATTCTCTCGGTCCTTGCGGCCATTCTTGTGGCCCAGAGCTGTGTCTCCCCATTGTGTCCCCTCGTCTGTTGTCTGGTGTGTCACGGGTGTCTGGGTGTAGTTGTCCCGGAGCTGCTCTGCCCTCCTGCCCAGCCTGGGTGTAGGTGTAAAAGGCCAAGTCCCAGGCCCCTGTAATTTGAAATTTGTGATGTAGGGTGTAGTTAGAGTCTAGTGGGCGTTCCTAGATGGACACAAGATGTCTGGGGCTGTGAAGTTACCCTGCAGCACTTTGACTTTTGTCTCAGCTTTCTTTCAGGTGCGGACGGATGAAATCAGTGGCAGAGCGTCCCATCCAGGGTAAGGGGGTTCCCCCGAGAAGGTAAGTCAATGTTTGTCTTTGCAGGGCAACTGGAACCGGTCACTGTGTTACACGTCTCTTCTTTGTCTTTATTTTTAGGAAGTAAAGCCGGCTAGCAGCAGTCAAGGTGAAGTGGAGAAGGTGAGCGTTGACCAGTGGAGGGAAGCCGTTTTTATCGCTGGGCTCTCAGTTTCTGGTGGCACGCCAAGCATCCCTTTTTGTTTGCGTACTTTAGGCGGTCCAGTCGCGTTTTGTTGAGACCCCCTCGCCAACGGACCGGCACAGCTGCTTCGCCTCTCCCGTGAGCCCTGCGGAAGCCTTACAGGGACCATCTGATGAAGCCTTGGCCTTTTCCACATAGAGAGGCCATGTGGGTGGCCTTCAGGAATGGGCTGAGGGGTTGCCGTGAGTTGGGGATGTCAGGAGAAGGAGCGAGGGTCCCTTTGAGTTTCAGCAATGCCACATCACTTTGTCTTCTCTTAACTCAGGTGTGCCCTGCGACGACAGCATCTGGATCCCAGCGTGGCCAAAGCGCGTGGCCTCAGGACTTGGCCGTTCGCAGGAGACCGTGAGTAGTGGAATTGTCAGGTTTTGGCTGACGCCCTACAAAGATCAGCCGCTGATTTTCTGTTTTATATATTGTAGCTGACCGAGAGACGACAGCCTGGCGATGGCAGGAACTTCCCAGATGGCGAGGCGGCCTTCCTTGGCGCCCCGTGTGGATCCTCCCCGCCGGGCATCCGAGAGCTGAGTCAAAGGCTACGACCCGCAGAGGGGATGAAAGCGGGGTGCCGGGTCCAGGACTTGTGACCTGGGATTATGGAGTCAGCTTTGGGGATGGGGAGGTCCAGGCTGTGGCCCCTTTGGCCCCATGCAGGAAGAGCCTCACTTCTGTTCACAGTGCTGAGATGTGCAGGACAGAGCAGCCCCGGGGTGTGTCGTGCCACTTGTCCGTCGTGCCTTCTGTGTCTTTTGTGCCTCTTGTGTTGTACATGCCTTGCCTTATCTCTTCTGGGGGCTTACCAGAAACCCTGGCATCACTCATAGCATCTCTGGGTTCTTCAGCCCGACGCCATCGAAGCTTTGCCTCCGGAGCTCTCAGAGGCCTTGGAATCGCGTCTGTTTTGAAAAGCATCCGATGGGATGTGTTTTAGAGGTCTTGTTCTGAGCTGTGTCAACAGCCGTGCGCCGCGAGGATCCATTGTTGCGGCTTAGGTCTTGAAGAAACGCAAAGATAGGTAGGGGACTGTGGCCCTCAGATTCTCGGGCATCCGTCTTGGCAGTCTCGGAGTTTGTCATTCCATCAGCATCTTCTTCCTCCCGGGTTCTGCGAGCTTCATCAGCTCACCTTCATTCTCACCCGGGTCATCTCATTCCGCATTCTCTCGGTCCTTGCGGCCATTCTTGTGGCCCAGAGTTTTGTCTCCCCATTGTGTCCCCTCGTCTGTTGTCTGGTGTGTCACGGGTGTCTGGGTGTAGTTGTCCCGGAGCTGCTCTGCCCTCCTGCCCAGCCTGGGTGTAGGTGTAAAGGGACAAGTCCCAGGCCCCTGTAATTTGAAATTTGTGATGTAGGTTTTACTTTGGAATCTAGAGAGTATTCCTAGATGGACACAAGATGTCTGGAGCTGTGAAGTTATCCTGCAGCACTTTGACTTTTGTCTTAGCTTTCTAAGCATTTCATTATTTGCTGCCCAATGTGGGGTTCAAAAGAGTGAGAAAAACCTATACTGATTACGTTATATTGGTACTTTCTGTGTGTTTTGATAAAGGACTTTGTGATGGTGTTACTTAAGTTCTTGTCTCTCAGGGTGGAGGTCTTTATGTAATTCTAGTCTCTGAGCTTTTTTTGAGGTTTTAATGCCTTTCTTGTCCCTAAGTTTATTTTCTTATCCAAAAATAACTCCAATACTGTCCCTACTACATAATTTTCGCAGTAAAAGAGCACAGATTAAAATAGCTGTTATGCTAAGCTCAGTAATAATGACTGATGAAAACCTTTTAAAAGTACTGAAGTTTGTACCAAGTAGCTTTAGTTTGTAGTTTCTTTGTCCTCCCCTACATCCCAATCACAGTAACATGTTTTAAAAGTGTATTAGTAATTATACCCAGTTTAGTAGAAGAGCAGCAAAAACCCCACTACACTCTTTTTACTAATAATTCATACCACATCATAAAAGTAAAACAAAACACAAAAAACTATAGAAAACGTAACACAACCAAATCTACTTTAAAAAACTCAACTTACTAAACACAAAGCCATTCAATGAGCCCTAAACATTACTAAAAAAACCTAACCAAATTGCTACCTTCTAATTCATAAATAATAATCAATGCTCTATAAAAATAACTAAAGACCTCATTAACAATAAAAAAGATTAAACTACTGAAAAATAAGAAATCACTACAAAAACAAACTACCTGTAAAAATCCATCATATAGATATTCATATCCCCAGAGACACAACTAATAAAAACCACCAAAGCAATAAACAGGTACATGCAACTACAAAAATTAAAAGGTCAAAAGTAAACTGCAATTAACCATACAAAACCAAATTGTTCCTAACTCAATAATCTCATAATGCCTCAAATCATCAAAATAAAAATACCATCTCCAAATAAACACCAAACCAAAAAATAAATTTAGCCAGAAACAATATTTCTCACATATCCATGTTTAAAACATATACTTCAATCAAACAGTTAAACCCCCTATAACGATAATCCAAATAGAAATATAAAAAAACCTAACAAATTAAGTACATTACTGTACCCCAAACACACCAAAATAAACACTACATACTCACAATAATAAAAAAACATCACTAAATAAATAAAAACCTACCCTATACCTCACACTGCTACTCAAAACATCATCCTAAACCTTAAAAAACAAGTGCTTTAAAAACATAATACTCCTAAAAAATTAAAGCAAACCATAACACTCATTTCAAAAACAACCTTATCAACACCTAAACTAAAAAACATAATATTCAGTAAATATACCATATCCCTTACCATGCACCAAGTACAGATAAAAAACCATCTTAAAAACATTAAATAAAAAATCTTTCAAATATTAAAAAACATCGAGCAAAAGCCACCTAATTCATCAACATCCAAAACTCCACCAATCAAACTAACTCTACCCAATCTAAACCCAGACATATCATTAACAAAACCAAAATCCCAATAACAAATATAAAAATGTATTTTAAAAAAGCAATTAAAATCAATTCCACTTTAAATAGAAAAAACTCCATAAAATTGTCTTTAGTCAAAAACCAAATGACACGTGATAAATAATACAAAAAAATAACACAATATATACTGCAAAAAAATCTAATCAATAAATAAAAAATACATATAAACATCACTTTTTACTAAAGATCACTACTCTTCTCTGTATATATAACTAATTTCCAAAAGAAACAAAACACCCCACACAAGTTATTTTCAAAAACAACTCTCATTCCCTCACATCTTTCTCCAAGCGATATTATCTACAACAAAACAAGTCTCCCTTACTTTGAATTAATTTTTAACAAACTAGAACAAAAACATTCTCCAAATTATATCTATTTTTCCTTTCTCTTAAATCTATTCAAATGCACTCTAAACTGAAAACCCAAACACCAAAAACTCAGACATCCAGCCCTCGGGAGTCTGGGCCTCAACACTTTCCAACACCAAAAAAACTGATATATAACTCAACAAACAAAACTACACAACAAGAACTTTCTAAATTGACCATCTCTTCAAAAAACAACAAATTTTATTATTTTTTATTATTAATTTGTTTATACTTATAAATACTTTACACATTAAATAACTTTTTTTTCAATTTTCCTCCAAAAAAATATTTTCCCAAACCAATTAAACAAAACAAAAAACCCACTCTAATTTACTTTTTTAAAAAACCCCGTTCAAAACTTTTCTCCCAAATTTACCCTAAACCAGGACAAATATATATTGTGTGTTATACATATATCAATGTAGTACATAAATATACATTTTATAAAAATAGACATTCAAAAAATGTTTAATTACAATTTCAGGCAAAGGGGCTGTTTGGTGTTTATTTGGTTAGAAGTAGGACTTTTAAATAAATAATATAGAAATTAAAATATACAAATCTATAATAAATATAGGGTTTATAAGGGTTTGGATTGTGGTAAAAATCCCCCTGTTCCCGTCATTTGAGCGATTTAATTCGAGGAAAATCCCTCCTTTTCTGCTGTTGTAGGGGATTAAATTGAAGGGTGGCGCACACACTTATCAGCGACTTGACATCGGGCTGTGCCGCCGCATTGGAGGGCGCTTCTGCCCCCTGGCACCAAACGTCTCGCACGGGAGCGCTCCTGGCATTCCCCGGGGAATTGCTGAGGGGCAACGGGAATTTGGCGGCCGGGCAGCCCCCGGGGAGCGGCAGAGCCGCGCTGAGGCGGGGCGGGCTGTGCCGGGCCGGCAGGCGGGAGACGCGGAGCGGAGCTGTGTCGGTCCCGACCGCTA